TGCAGCGAGCAGAAATAATGAGCAAGTAACTTCCATCCATCCAGATTTGATCTGTCATGCAAGGAAATGAGGTTGATAACTTTCTACTTTGAAAATTACACGTGCAGCACAAAGCAAAGTGTTTCTCAATATTTCATGCTGTGATCACTCTGCTGTTCAGCAGATCGAATGTTTCATACACGTTTCATATACGCACGCGGTCCCATGAACAGGGAAACTTTTAAGAAAATACTCGATATTGTGAAATCATTCACATAACGCTGTATCCATGAAATACTTGTTGTGACATATCTTTGATCGGCTGGACAACCTAGTTTCACAAGACTTCTGATTGATAAAACGACTTTCACGATTTCAAATTAATGTACACGGAACAAAACAGACAAGTATAATCACAAAATGTATAAACGTAACAATGACTCTCAGCACACATGAGGAAAAGTCGCGTTTCGTGGGATGCCGTGATGAGTTAGCAGAGAGGTAACTCGAGCCTTAAAGTTAACTAATGAAAACTGTCCAACCAACCCACGAACCGGTGAGACCAGTGTCAAGTGGAAAAGCCGACCTTGCCACAATGGAGAAAGCTTGCAAACTGAAGTACTGGCTTGCTATCCAATCGTTGCGACACCGAGTAGGGAATTAGGGAAGAGTTGGGGATAGCCTTCACGAGTACACGTTGAAACACAAGTGGCTGCCGTGGCAAAGAGTTATGTTATCAACACGAGGCGGCAGAGAAACTCGATAATGTACAGTTTCCATCCAGTCGTCTTCCGCTTGTTCACTTCGGGGAAAGCATCGTCCTCCTCCTTCTCCTGCCATTGTCCTAGAACAACGTGGAACTTATGCAACAACAACTAAGGTTTCATTTGTGCTAATGTCGTAGCAATGTCACTGCTATCTTAACGTCATTATTCCTGATGCTGATGAAGGAATACGTCCAATCCCAATAAATGGCAAATGAAATGTTAAATCAATTCCTCGCTTATGTAGCATTCGCTGAAATGACGCAGAAGCACTCACCTAATTATAATTATTAATTAATAACAATAACATAAATACTTATATTACATTTGAAGCAATACGAACTCAATTGGTGCTTAGATATTGAGTAAAATCCCATCATAGTGCTCACATCAAGTAATGCAAGTAATAATAACTGAAGCATATAGTTACGTATGACGTATGCATGAACTGGCCACTTTTGATTTTTTTTCTACCCATAATTGTCAGTTCAACTGTCAACAAAGCTGGAATGGCACTTTAACCAAGCCGGAACATAGAATTTTAGAAGGAAAGTTGCAATTCTACACGAATGTTTGTTTGGTATTCGGGAGAAAGCAGTCGGAAGTACTTAATAATTAATTCTGTTGGATAGAATACCTTCTCAACTTTGCTTCATGTCCTAGTGTACTTATTCTAAGCCACGGTGATTAACGAAGCCTCTAATAACGAACGAGAGTCTAATTCTGTTATTCTGTGGTCCAATTATTTTCCAAGCTCTAGAAAATGACATTACAGTTTAGTTCCACATCATTTCTGGGTAGTTCAGTTGAACTTAAGCTAAAGAAGAGAATGCCATGGGGTTAATGCCCACTTTAAAAGATCATCACCGATAAAAAATTAATCATTGGATGGAAAGTCTTCTTGATCGGATCATAGTTGCTAAATACTTGGGTGACAAACTGAAACTGTGGCATAAACGAGGTCGTGCGATGCTTTCTATTTTTCGGAGAATATGATCCCATGCGACAAGGGAAATGTGTTTCCCTCGATTTTCCCCCGAATGAACAAACAATAAACTCACTCATCCATCACGGAAAAGGTGACATACACGATAAGAGAAAGTCAGACAGTCTGACGTGCAATCACTATCCTATATTTTTCATTCAAAATACTTGGAGTTTTCCAAACAAGCTATAAATGAAAATGTAACATGAACAAGCATGCATGCATGGCATACTCTTTTCATCAGTGTATACGTATTTATAATGTAGTTTTAATGCATTGTTTGACGGATTGGCATCAAATTCAACTTGTGTAATTTGAAACAAAGAAGTAAGTAAATAAGTAGGTTTTCAGGGTATCTAAAATAAGGGAGCTCTGTCTAAACGAAGTTTGCAAATTCACTAGAATGACGCAAATGGTTTCACTAAATTCAATGAATGATGGCAGCCAGTAGAGGCTTTGAAACTATACACGGGTTGTCAATTACACAAAGCACATTATCAACCTACATAGCCGGGCAAATGTGAGTAGAAAGTGGGAGTTGAAGATGTCACACAACTTGAAAATTTAATGTGCTCCACAACCACCGACATTCTTCCTTCCTTCCTTCGTTCCTACCTGTCCAACCTGGGCATGGAACGCGCATATTTTGTGTGGACGGAACGCTCAAAGCTAATTGACAAATTTCAATTATATGTCGGTGCGCGACTTGCATGTCCTTCTTTCGACCTCGAGGCAAAATATTTGACATTTTGCACGATTTACCCGCAAGATCTCCGGAAGTCGCGCACATAGTTTTAGCTACTTAAATATATTCCCGTAGAAAAGATTGGTAAAAGCTGGAGGAAGCGATCAAATATATGCCCATTACCGCAGAATGGAGCCATCGCAAATTGCCTAATTCTAGTGAGCCTATTTGTAATTTTAAAAAGTAAATAAAAAAATTATAAAAAATGAACGTACTCGTTATTCACATACCTTCGAGTCGACCCGTCCCCGCGTCCACCAAGCTTGACTATAATGCCAGGGGCCATTATTGATTCAAATATTTCCTGTGAATTTCAGTTTTGAACTACTTTCTTTAGAAAGTTTAAACACACAGGTTTGACACGAGTCAATTAATACTGATTTACAATTGAGATAGAGTACTCTCTGCCTTTGAAATAATAGGAGAGAAATTAATTACTAATACTTCACCGGTAATCGTTGAAAGACTACTGACCAGTACGGGTCGTTAATCTAATTGCTTAAAACACAATAGTAAGTCATTGCGATAACTAAAGCTGTAAATTTAAACTAATAATACTATTATCACAAAAAAATCTAGCTAATCACTGGTCATTGTCAAGTCTCATAGAATTCACAATACTCATAAAAGTGAACTATTGGAGTACGGTACGAGGCGACGAAGGCGATGGAGATCGTTGTTGCTGAGATCGTTGGATGCTGAGGTATATAATAATTCAGTTGCAGTTGCATATTTATACTTGGTCGCACACCAAATTCTGGATGAACATCACGACGCTTATTAGAGTTGTTAAGACGAATAAGTGGAGAGCAATGATCGGCCAGTAAGTGGTAGGTATAATCCTTTAGATATCAGTTTTCTTCCATGTCTGAAATTGACAAACCTAAATTATTACCAATTAAGTTTCACAGAGAATAAAACAATTGCATGAAACTTCATTTTTTCAAGTTACTCACAATGGTACCACTTGTATCAAATATTAATATCGCAGCTATACATAAATAGACTCACCCCCACAACTTTATGGCTTACACTAAAAACCATTGTTCGTAAATTAACAATCACAACTCCAGACACATCAAACGAATAAACCAGTGACATTATTTGAACTGATGTGCATGAATAATTTATACATGGCAAATACAATAAATAAACAATCTATACTACATATATATATCAGCTGAGTTTCATAATAAACAAAGTGTGAAGGGCTCAAGTTGCTATATTCGAATTCAACTTTCAACTTTACCAAATGAAGGCCTATGACTTTTTCAGTCGGTTATGCACAATTAGAAAGCCAATTATATCTATAGTTTTAGCTTAAAAAGAAGGTGGACCTACCCGTGAGGAGGAGGTGGAGAAAGCGATGGCTGGGAACTTTGGTGGTGCTGAGGAGGAAGTGCTGTAAACGGAAGAAAGTGGAAATGTCCGTGTTCACGAAGCGTCGGAGGAAGGGGAGATTTTTTAGGGAGACGAGCAGTTTGTTTGTTGTGTCTGCTGCCGGTTTACTCCCGCCGTCTCCGTCTCGCCCACCTCTCGCCCAAAACTAATCAACTCTCTTTCTCCACACACCCGTCGGATCAAGGGAGAAAGCGAGATGATTAGTTCGTCTCAGGAACTTTCTTCCATGGGAAATCAGAGATTTTGACCATCTTTCAGCTTCCAACATATGGGAATAACGTCAGCATGGGAATTACAGAATAGCTGCGAGAACTACGGAGAGAGGAATGAGGAAGCGGATTCCATGCAGCACGCACGACTTTCTCCAACGCGTCAATAACCTGTCGTTTGGTGTGAAATAATATGAACCAAAATCATGAATGATCGTACATATCTACGTCGTCCACAGTACTTATGCACGTACAGTTGCACGCATAGTTATCATAGTTATCATGATCAATTCTCACGAGCGTGTTAAGTGGTTAAATAAGTGGTGTACAATTGAGGTAATTATTATTGCATAAGTTCTATATTTTCTAATCAAGTTTATTTTATTTAGCCAAGTGCTTCATTTTATGGTAATTGTGTTTCAATATTTGCTCTGGGATATTTTGGGATCAAGTTGAACTATTGTTTGTCATGTTTCATTCAAGTGGTAGATGAGAATAAGTTACTGGCGATGGAGTAAAGTGAACCTATTGGTAAATCCATTTAATGCGATGATAATCATTATTGTGAAAGCTTTCTCCTGGTTCAGTCTCAATTAATCGTGTACCATTTTCTTCCCCAAAAATGACAGGCCATTTCTTTCTTCCATTTGAGCAATACGAGGCACATTAATTTCCTCTTGTCTGGGTTGATTAGGTGAGCAAACAAAAAATTGCGTGCTGTCACTTGAGGACAACTCTGTCCTACGGAATTAAATCGGTCAATACTTGTACATTTTGCAATCCACTACGTAACCAAGAGCCGAAATGCTAGTTCTACGGTAGGCATTTGACAGAGAGAGACGAAGGGATATATAATTTTGCCGAGAAGGGTCGACTGCACGTGGTATTAAAAGTCCCAGTTCCAGCTCCAGGACTTCCAGTTCAGCTGTGGTAGTGCTTCCGCGATCATCAGCAACGCAAAAGTACTCGGGATTTTCCTTCGGAATTCCTATAAAATAGAATTGGGTGGTGTGTGTGTCGTGCGGGTATGAGATTTGATCCACCAGAAACTGTTCTAATATACATGACGCATACACATAGATCCAGAAACAGTAGAGATAGCACTTCTTCTTGCTGTTTGTTGCTGGACTTTACTTGTTACACTTTATGTACAACTGCAGAAGAGGAAGTACCAAGTTGTTCCTCCGAGTGGAAATCGGATTATGGACACCACGAATTGCTATCTCACACAGTTGAATAAAGTCGACTCTCGACAATAGCACAGTTTTAATGTGACAGAATAAGAAATACGCTCGCGAATTTTGTGCTGGACTTCACATGTAAGACATATATACGTACAGTCAGTAAGCTTTAGGTTTATGTGGATTTCCACTATCCAGTCTCGTGCAAATTGCAGGATACGTGGTAATATTGAGATAATAATGAAAGAGCTCAGAGTTCCGAGCAGAGCATATCGCGAATAAGCCAATTTTGTTACTGCACTGTCCTAGTGGAACATATAGCGTGGACAACCTCGGAATATGCTCAACTGCATGAGAATAAGATTTAAGAATGCATTGCGGCTCTCTTTCCTCAGAGAACACGAATTATGTTCTCTTGTGTTAATAACAGTTGCAGACCGCGTGTGTCGACCTTGAACTTGATTTTGCCATTACAGAAACGAGTAAATAATGCTGTGATTACGTGATCAAAATTACTTGACCAACGGCAGGAACACATCATAAATTTTATGTTGTTTGTGATGTATTGCAAGTTGGAGAGTGCACACTTGCTCGTAACATTTTCTGTGTGAATCTGCAAACCATGTAACTGCGAGAAAGTTGAGTTAATAGTAAATCAAGCAGTGCAGCAGGACTTTCCCTCGGTTATAAAGCATCCAAGACAAGGGATGTTATCTTCCGTACTCGAGATATCATTTAGACGACTAGGATATAAAAATAATTCTCTTGGGCAATCGCAAGCAGCCAACTAAAATCCACTCTCCTTCTTCCTCGATCTGTGACTTGGGACTCAACGAGTTTTTTCAGAGAAAGAAACTTTGCTGGTCGGTTTAATAGTGGAGGATTTTTTACTGATTCTTGCCAAAGTTTGACTGCAACACCGGAATCTAATCAAATAAACGTGGATATCAATACAATGGATACACGATACATATACAACTTCATCCTATAGCACTTGCTCACACACTTCGACTGCATGATATCTACCATTTGTACTACTCCTACTACTACAAAGCAGCAACTTTCTGGTTCCTTTTTCATAGCCAGGTTGCTGCTGATACCATTGTGATTTGAGGACTAGTTGCGGTTTAACGCATTTTTCCTCTGCACCAGACTATTTTCCTGTAATTCAGTAATTATTTTTTTCAACAATGTCCTTTGGACGAAATTTACGGCGGTTCATAGGCTATGGCTCGGCCATTGGGGGCGGCTACTTTGTCGCGACTTGGATGATGCAGGAACCAACTAGTGTAAGCCATTCGTTTTCATACACGCAAAAAAAACAATTATATTTATATCTTATCGTTTATGACCAATTAAGTCCCTGGAAATAAGTCGAGTAATGAAATGAATTTTGCAAGCAGGCATGGGCTCCCGTCTCGATGGACCTGAACCATTTGAACGTTCGGCCTAAGCGACCACTTCCAACGAGAGCAGAACAGTTAAAGTCCCTCCAGTCGGACGAGTTTGACGTGTTGGTGATTGGCGGGGGTGCGACGGGGAGCGGTTGTGCATTAGACGCCACGACCCGAGGTGCGTGACTCTCGACGGTTACATGCCATGCATTTTGTATGAGTTTTTATGGATGTGTCACCAAACTTTTATCTCCATTTTCTGTATGCAGGCCTTAAAACGGCACTGGTTGAGTTGGATGATTTTGCATCTGGCACAAGCAGCCGATCCACCAAATTGATCCATGGCGGAGTCCGATACCTCCAAAAAGCCATTATGGGGGTTGGCCAAAAAATCTTAAAAATATTTTATTCCAACGATGCCATTTGTCGTAATGCCATTTTGTTTTTTTTTCATAGTTCGACATTGAGCAGTATCGCATGGTAAAGGAAGCTTTGCATGAACGAGCAAATTTGCTTCAAATTGCTCCACACCTGGCCTACCCACTTCCCATTATGCTTCCAGTTTATAGGTATTTACAGATTCTCTGAGTGCACTTACAAAGTAAAGTTCACATTTTTTGTCACATTCGTGGCAATAGCAGACGCCACAAGGCTGATTTATTGCTTTTAATTCAGATGGTACCTCGTGCCCTATTATTGGGCAGGGATTAAGGCCTATGACTTTGTAGCAGGCGGAAAACGAGTCAAGCCGTCCTACTATCTGTCAAAAGAGAGAGCCTTGGGTAAGATTGCATTTTACAGGAAAAATGGACCATATCTTCGACACAAAAAGAGTTTATTTTTTGTTTCAGAGCTTTTTCCCATGTTGCGGAAAGATAAATTGTGTGGAGCTTTGGTTTACTACGACGGTATGGAGTACACTGGGGACGAAAGTTTTTGTTGTCACAAGTATCAACTGTACGTGATCTTTACAGGTCAACAAAACGATGCCAGGATGAACTTGTCGATTGCTCTAACTGCGACGCGTCTCGGAGCCACTATTGCAAACCACGTGAAAGTATTAGATTTAGTCAAAGAACGGGTATGAAATAATTTATTGCATTATCAAATCAGCAAATAGGTACAATAATAATGTGCACTGCATTGTGCATTACAGGATGAGGAAGGAATTCAGCGTATTGTAGGTGCGTTCATACGTGCATAAATAACTATAAACATTTATTTAATTTGTGGTGAACATTTACACTTTAATTTTTTACAACGAATCCTTATTTCACAAAATTGTAGGTGCCAAGTTGCATGACGAAATTTCAGGAAAGGAGTTTAATGTGCGAGCGAAGTGTGTCATCAACGCGACGGGCCCATTTACAGATCAAATCAGGAAAATGGACGACCAAAAAGTGTCCGATATCTGCTGCCCCTCTTCAGGCGTGCATATTGTGCTTCCCGGCTATTACAGGTTTAGATCGATTTGAACTCTATAAAAATTTTGTTTCATGCATGGTCGACTTTTTTTCTTAAATTTGCATACATATTCCCTCGTGAAACAGCAGATGAGTTGCTCGAACTCTGTCTACGTATGTACGTCTCTACGACAAATAGAATTGTAGAGAAGACTTGAAGGCAAGATTACTTTTCTGGCTCCGTGATTCTTGAAGGAATGATAATATTACTGCAGCACAGGAAAGAGTTTTGCCAAAACTCCAATCATAATATTTTCCATGTAGGTTTGGTGGTTCTTTGCAATTTTGAGGCTTCTCAGTTACCTATTTTTGCTATCACTCGACCAGAAAGAGCGAGAGAGAGAGAGACCAATTTCTCTCCGAGCTGCTTGCCTCAAATAACGTTTTTGCTAACAGTTGCAGGTTTGAGACGAGTGATCCTCCTGGGACGGTAGCCTGCATATCTAATTCCCGTAAAAGATTAGTATTCATGAGCATCACGTTCCTCGAATGAAAATGTTGCTTGATATTGCTTTGTTTTGTTGAAACTTTTGAGAATGGCTCATCTCATCTCAACCACCACGGAATGTGCTCTTTGTGCAAATTCGAGAGTTGTCTTCAAGTCCTCGAGCACTTTTCGCAAGTATTCAGTCGAGAGACGGAATGCTCTGGCCCTCTCCTCCTGCGCCCATTTTTCACGAACAGACAAAATGTGTTGGGCGAGGGAAAGCGCTTTTGAAATTAGTTCCACGCCATGTTTCGCTGCTTCACTTGCTGCCTCCAATTCTTTGAATCTGTTGGAGGAGAGAAAACAACAAAGGCTACTTATTTATTTATTTCCCATATACTGATTTATGTGTAACTCTTAAAAAAACACTCTGAATTTATGACGCGACCACCTCTTCCCACGAGGCACGAGGAGTATCTTACATAAGAACATACACGCATACGTACGTGTTTTATCAAGAACAAATGTGCATACCTCGTAAGTGACGAGTAGTGAACAGCCGCTGCCTTCGACAAGGCGTCATCCAGAAGCTGGGCCGTGGAAGCTCGTTGGAGGCTGAGGATTTGAGCCTCGTGTACTTTTCTTGTCAAATGAATCACTTGGCCGTACTTGGAGGCAACGACGGACCGAGCCGTATTCGCCCAGTGGGAGGACACGAGAGCCAAATCTTCTCTCACTTTACTCGCTGCAATGCTTTGGAGCAGAGATTGAAAAAATGTCAGACTTTCCACTTTCTTCTCCAGCGCGGCTATGGGACTTGTCACGAATTGTGGTATCTTTCCACTCTCACTGCGATTCTCCAAATCCACACTTTCCAAAATTGGATCAATCGGGGATGCTGGACTTATTTCCCAAAACAAACTGGATCGCTTTATTTTCACACCCGCAGGTTTGGGTTTAGTTGCGAGGCTCGAGATAAGGGAGTAGAAGGAACTAAGTTTGCTGGGGGAGATGGATGGAAAAATTGAGAGACATAAAATAAGCAGAAGCAGCAGACGTGGGACAAATTGGCTTCTTGTGTGATGATGAGATAGCATTTCTGCATGGCTGTGACAAGCTCTATTTCATGAGTTTTCACGAACTTATTTATCTATGTATATATGTAGAACAATGGTCACAACTCTGGTTTTCTTAAATAAAACTTTGAACAAACTTTGGATTTTATTAATTTATTATCGTCCAAAAAAAATATCCAAGATGCTGTGGTGCTCTCTCAGTGTTTAAAAGATAGGAGTGGTACACCACATCGCACTTCAAGTTAAATAGTAACTGAATCGGAGAACCTAATTTTGCCACAAATAAGAAACAAAGAAACTTTGTTGACTCTGTTAGTGATTGGGTTTGCAAAGTTTGTCAAGTGAAGGAAGAGGAGGAAATGAAATCAAGGCAGACAAAACTAAAAGATCTTCCCTTGAAAGGATTATCTCATGCTCATGCACAACAATTAACTTTCGTTTAGAGTTTACAGAAGTTGTGCGCGTCGTAGTTGAAGCTCAATGCACATCTTCAACTTTCATTGTCCTTTTGTTTTAACCTACTGCAGACTAAAAGAGTTTGTGCTGATTGTGATAATTCTAAGAGTTTCTAGAGTACGTACGTATGCACAGCAATCCAATTAATACGTATCCCGATTAATGCGACTACTGATATCAATGAACTGAATAGTTTTTTTTGTTTATCGTACTCGTTTTTACTCAAACTGACAAACGAAATAATTTTTTCAGCCCTGAAGAGATGGGACTTCTTGATCCCGATACTTCCGACGGGAGAGTTATTTTCTTCCTTCCGTGGCAGAAGCTCACAATCGCAGGAACAACCGATACCCCCTGCGACGTGACACGCAGTCCTGCCCCCACAGAAAAAGATATATCTTTCATCCTTCACGAAGTAAAACACTATCTCAACCCTGACTTGGAAGGTACAGCAATTATTCAGTCGCCAATTTGCTTAATGTAACCCACCCATGCATATCATCTCGGTTTAATTAATTATTTTGTCTTGTTTCGCAGTCCGTCGAGGCGACGGTATGTTGAACACATTTTGTTTATTTAGTACCACATCAAATGTCTTATTCATAATTAATCTACAATTTTGATTAGTTTTGTCTGCTTGGAGTGGGATTAGACCATTGGTGAGTGACCCAAACAAACCAGATACTCAATCTCTGGCCCGAAATCACATTGTCCATGTCAGCCCTGGTGGTTTAGGTAAGCGCTGATCTCCTACACTATGGGCTTATCTATAGGATGTCGGTGTAATCAATTTTTTGTTTGCAGTTACCATCGCTGGTGGGAAATGGACCACTTACAGGTCCATGGCCGTCGATGCAGTAGATGCTGCAGTTCAAGGTTAGCATTAGTTTAAGTAATTCTGCCAGCATTTACCTGTACACTTTATACAATGAGTTTTAATGGTCATTTAAGCTTGCAAACTACAGCCAACCAGCCCCAGTCAAACGGATGGACTTCTTCTCGAAGGTAAGCTGAAGACAACTATGGTTTGCAACGTCCACGTATAATATGCACTCGGAAATGGCAATAAGTAAACTTATGAAAATAAAATTTAGGTGCTCATGGATGGTCTCCCACTCTGTATATTCGTTTGGTCCAGGTATGTCCATATTTATATGCCTATTGTTCACGTAGTTTTCTTATTACAAGAGTATCCTTGACGTGTAGGACATGGGTCTAGAACCGGAAGTAGCGAAACATTTGGCAAACACTTACGGGGATCGAGCTTTCTCTGTGGCAAAATTGTCTGCTCTCACTGGAAAACGGTAATAATGAATTATTATTATTACAAATATTTCTCATGTTGAATGAGCGAGGGTGTCTAAAACTTCAGATTATTTCAGATATCCAGTAGTTGGGAAGCGTCTTCATACTGAATTTCCTTATGTGGACGCAGAGGTCTTTTTTCATATGATTGGCTTTTCTTAAGAATTTACATCAGTAATTGCAGCAAATATGAATTGGTTGCAGGTTCGCTATGCCGTGAAAGAGTATGCGGCAACTGCCGTCGACGTCATTGCTAGAAGGACACGTTTGGCATTTTTGAATGCTCAGGCATCCGTTGAAGCATTGGACACGGTGGTTGATATCATGGCAGAGGAGCTCAAATGGTCACCTGCCGAGAAAAAAGTAAGATCAGAAAATGGGTCTAAATATATACACCAGTTAAAAATTGTGTAACTCAATTGAACTGGATTTCAGAGGCAACAAGACATGGCGATTGAATTTATCCAAACTGAGATGGGGATGGGAGTGAGCGAAAAGACTCGAGCGGAGGCCATCACGGTTGAATTGACTAATTTGGAACGCGAAATTTATACAAAGCGGTGAGTTGTCGTTAGAACTGCGGATGTTGCTTCTTTGCTTATCTTCAACTTGTGAATTTTCAACGTTACAGGTTCCAATCCATAGATCAAGAGAAGAAAGGATTCATCACCATTAATGACATTCGCAGAAGTTTGAAGGTACGCATATCAGAGTATTTTATGAATATTCAGTGTGTACAAAGTTACAAGCATATATTAATCAGCATTACACCTTTCAGAATCAAGGGGAAGATGTGCCGGGTGAGGTACTGCATTCTATCCTAAAAGAGCTGGATACGAATCGGAATGGTCAGGTTGAGATCGAGGAATACCTTGCTGTAAGAAATGATTTCTTTTATTGTCATTTTTTTCACATGCATGACAATATAGCTAAAAATTCAATTATAATTAAACTCCAGATGATGTCTGCTATAAAATCGGGTGCTGTTGTTAACTCAAGATTTGCAAGAATGGCAGAAATGGAAGAGGAGAGACTGCGATTGCTCAGAACAAAGATAACCGTCGATCGGTCTGGAGGAGGGCTTTAAATATTATTATCGTAAAAATATACACACCACACACATGTACTTGTTGACAGTAAAAATCAGTAGTCTTCTAAGATTTTCTAGTCGTTTTTTGGATAAATCGTAGTCTACAGTTTGACGAATTTATTATTATTCAAGTTCCAAAGAGGGCAAAAAAATGTGTACAGTTGCCGAACTATTTTTCCTATAGACTAAAAATATCATGTTCTGAACTGTTCTCTCTGTAGTGTAAAGTAGCAAAATTTCCAAACCAAAACTTCATAGTGCTGCAATAAGGATTGACAAATAACTGTTCAATTAAAAATCAGACTTACCAAATTTATGTACATAAATGCGTGATTAAAGTGCAGGTGCAATATTAATGTGATTCGATTAAAAAATATATTACTTTTACGAGGCATAGGATTTCGTAAAATCAATCTCTCTGAACTTGGTTTTTGAGTCTGAAATCTTGATATTACTTATATTAAAACAATGCGAAACTATTCTAACGATAATAAAATTTCAGTCCCATATTTGTGATACCTATGATTTATCAACAAACAAATTTTGTACCTTATCAATGAGCTATGATAATTCTTGCCTCTATGATTACACAAGCGTTATCCGTTCTGTTAGTTTACATGTTTCCGAGTATAAGCGATATTATTATAATGTAACAAATAACAATCTTCACCATATTGATGCTATCTGGATCTGGAGTTATATAGGTCAAGTTGTCTTGCTAAATGTGTAGTAAGTAAAAATTTCAGGTCGTAACTTCCTACCTCTTAAATTAATTAGAAAGAAAAACGAGTAGATAGTTCTACTCCAGATACATGTTCACCGTACTCGTTTAATTATTACTATAAACGTTTGTCTTGTCTGCGGAAAAACACTTAATAAATATAAACTGTATTGTTCCATAAGTGATTAATATTAATTAATTTCACATTTAGTGCATGTACAGACTTAAGCATTTGCATGGATTTGTAAGATTTTCATGTCGGGTTTAGGATTAGTTGCGGTGCATACCAATAACTTACATTCATGAATGTTGCATTATTTGTAATCCCAATAACCTGGTTCTGGATAACCAGTCAAAAATTTCCCCTTAAAGTTAGAGTTAGGGAACAGTCTGGGCATCCTAGTGAGCGAGTTGACTTTTTCTCCTCGCCACTTACCAGTAATGTAAATGATTTTTGTCACTAAGACTTCTAATTTGCAGCTAATACAAAATGGATTGATTTCGTTTTGGTGGCAATAAATTCCCAAGTTTGTGCTTTACAATTGCCATGTTGCATAAATTCCATAATAAATCTCGGTGAAAAGTATTGGACTGAAACATGATATGAGTCCATGTTTCAGTTCAATACTTTTCTCTGAGATTTATTATGGAATTTATGCAACATGGCAATTGTAAAGCACAAACTTGGGAATTTATTGCCACCAAAACGAAATCAATCCATTTTGTATTAGCTGCAAATTAGAAGTTTTAGTCGAAATTTTTCTCCTTTTCTGGTTCGCGATGCCCCGTTTGGAGAGTGGGAACGGTCACTCTCAAAACCCAAAGCAACTTTTTACATGCAACTGCCTGCATTGTTTACATGAAAATCAGCTGCTCTCTTCGCCCCGCCCCCCCTCATTAGCAAAAAATCTCTCGGCACACAAGGAGACGCAACCGTCGTCTCTGTCTTTTAGTTATGAGATTTTTTCAACGTATATGCATTCTTAAGTGAGACGCAGAATATTATTGAATCCGACGTAGCAAATAGTTGAATAGCATGAACTTAAATCAGCGACGCTTTGAGCCAGACACGTGCAAGTGCGTACTTATTGAAGTAAATTCTCCGCCTCCTCCCTGCTAAATGCATACATTTATCCATCTATGTACTCATTTAGTTGGTTTGATTTGTGCATGCACACGACACATCCCGAATTCGGGCTTTTTTTTGGATTGAAGTTGGATTGAGCAGAATAATTACACGGAGAGGACAGCAAAGACTCGCTCTCTGATCTTTGTTGCGACTGGAAAATGGAGTACAAACAGGGGGACTGGTAATACGATTTGCCGTGTATCCATCAATGGAGCACATGCTTATTTATGCTCACACATCCGGCTTAATTGGAGCTGACGGGAGGCTTAAAAGGTCGCTTGTTTTCCATTTATGTCTATTCCGAGATGATTATAGTCCAGATTGACGAATTCCGAATCAAATTCTGCTTGTCAGTCTTATCTAATCTGACAAAATAATCTGCCATCAAACGGTTCGAGTCGGTGCAATGCATATCTAATGACCACGATGGGAATATTTGAGTGGACAATTAGAACAGTTTACCGGGACTTTTATAATCTTAAGTTTTGTTCCAAATTGTTATACGAAAAGTGTAAAGAAAGCGTAACTCTCTTAATTCTCATAAATTTCATCGTCGTTAACGTTTGAATATAGCTGGTCATTGTCGTTAAATATAAGCACAAAAGCTCAATTTGGACCGTTATTGCTTCCGGCGAAATAATAATGCGAACGATGATCTTGTGACGAACGACTGGAAGGAAGGACGCTGGGGTCATTAGCTAATTGTCCATTTCGATTTTATTTATTGTTCATCCGAGGAGTAGCCTTTGTGCTTGACCGGCTAGTATTTCCCAATATCTAAACAAATTTGTCCCCTCACGATTTCCAATGATTTCAACAATTTATAAGCTTTGACAGAAGTGAAATTGCAGCTTTTCCGGCAAAATGAGAAAATACCTCCCCACCACGCAGTTCACTTGATTTGGAAAAGGTTGGGTGAAATTTAATACGAAAAATGTGTACACAACGAGCGATGAGCTCACTCATTTCGTTCAACGAGTGAAAACACAATAAGTATGCGAGTCCACCAAAGAATACGCTGGATGGATGGACAGACGACATGTAAGAGGACGTAAATTACCAACCTACTTCATGTCATTGATTGTCATGATGATGAAATATGGAACCTTCCGTCGCACGGCTTCGTCCAGCTCATTTTGAACTGGTCAATGCTTTCCTCAATGCTGGGATGTTATTGATTGTCGTTTAATGGAACCAACAACAAATATAGAAACGTCCACTTGGTCAATATCACATTGCTACTGAACTCGGTCTAACTTCACAAAGTATTCAATGATGAATGACCGAACAAAAGGCCTTTGTTGAGTACATTTGAGAGAGTGTCTCGATCTGCCTCACACTGAGAATCACATGCACTCACATCTATTTACATATGTAAGTATGCAAAATATGTGTCAAATTTCTCTCACGTACTTTCACTTACTTTCGGTACTAATACAAATGAAAAAAATTTAAGATATTTCAAAAGTACCAGCATTCACCAAGCTGAATACGTATTATGTAATAACGTGCCATGTAGTGGGTTACACTGGTAAAAATCCGAGAAATCCTATGGAGTAACATATGTAAATATGTATGTATATATGTATATATAGTATACTGGTATTTTATTTGTTACTAATTTCCTACCGGATTGGCAATAGTTTGTTTCTGAGTTCATTGCGATGTTACATCCTCTGTCCAGTAATGATTTAATATCAGTTTCCTACGTAAGAGTGTATGAAACCCCGTTTTTGTCATTTACCCAGAATATTTACTACAGGAACTGGCATGTATAAAATCATCTGTATCAAAGTCTATGTATCCGTATACGAAATGGGCAGATGAGAATTGAGCATAAATCACCCCCCTGCAGAGTCTCATATTACTCGGGAATAAAGTTGCTTAAGAGGATTGACGAGAAAAGAATGAGAACCGTCTGTCGATATTAATAAGCTGGATTTAATTAAAATTCGAACCCTGATATGATATTCAAAAGAGACGACTTGAGCGTAAGTGAGTGGAGACTTGTTCAGCCAAATCATACACCGAGACCAATAGCACGAGTTGGAAAGCGAAGGGAATCAACCAAGCACTAAACTAAACTACGAATCAATTTCCTCATTTATTTTCCCATCAAAACTGAAAAAGATCCAGGAACGAAATCTCGGCGAGGATCTACATATGTGTGTGGACGTAAATCATAAAAGGTAATCAACGATCGGCCCGGGATGCAAAGCAAAGAGTTGATTAACCTTTATTATTCCATGAGTCAACGGCGATACACATACGCAAATGGAATTATGGGGCAAAAAAGCTGCTGGACAAAAAAGCCCATTTTATCCATCATATTGTATTTGTAATTCGTAAATTGCATCTCCTCTTCCCAGTGGGTCCTCCTATTTGTTCAGCTTTATTATCCTCCTCATGCGAATAACCGAGAGCCTTGTTGTTGATGCCTCGTATAAACTCATCCTTTCACAGCTTTGGTGCCAGAGTCGTTTTGTAATTCGAAAAGGCGTGCCTGCGAATCCAATCTAATCAAGGAGAAAAAATTTAATTTTGAATCCATGCATACATATGAACCATGGTTCATTCTTCATCATCATCTCGCTGTCCAGCCTCCTTCGCCTCCTCCACGCCAAGTCCTCACATTGTAAATATGCACGATTGTTACGCTATGAGGTCCAAATGACATGGAAAAGTTTCATGATGATGAACCAGCCGTTCGGAAATCCACGGGTGATTATTATGAAGAACAACGAAGGAAGGATGATGGATTTGGACCGGACTTGTGCTACGTTCATACACCACCATGCTATCTATGCATCTGCAGAACAACAATGCTCATCATGGACTCATAAAGCCTCATAAAGCATAAGTGACTGCAAGATTTAGTTGGATTTTTTATCACACCCCAGAAGAACCACCAGCAACCCGCATATTATTAGTCATCTTGTCTCTGAGACTGAGGGATGAGATCCAATTATGAGAGAGTGCAGCATCACGGGGAATGAATTCAACAATTAATTCTCTCGTAGAGTAAATGACACTCGGACAGGTGCTGGTGTGAATGTTTGTTTCTCGTGTCAATCTCCATCAGAACAAGGGTAGTGTACTGCAGTCATTAATAATTAATTATTCCTTGCGTTGGCCAAGGCCTTGTGCAGAGATTGCAACATTATGTGCTCTGGATCATAAAAATATACATCTGTACGAGCTGATGATGATAACTGACAGTTGGAATGATAATATGTTGCATGTCTGCGTGTAACTTCTTTATGCGTGACACACTGGCTGAGATTTTTATTTATTTGGCTTGCATACCACTTGTCAAAACGGAGTCGGTTCAGGAGCTAAAAAATTAGAAGGTTGTCCAAAACTAAACTAAATAATCCAATCTATGTGTGCATGAATGTAGTCTGGTTGTGAAGTTTGGCGTGCTCTACCGTATTCCTCTGAATGCATGTAATTAATAATATTGTTTTAAAAATCGAGACTGACAAGCTGAACTAACTGAACGGGGCATCATATCCTTTGCTCGACCATGTTCTGTTCCTGTGCAGATGTGGCAAAGGGGAAAGGCGAAGGGATGGGAATTCTGCCCTTAGTGCCACAGACCAGACGCCGTCGGATAATGTGTAGCCAGGAGCGGAGCATCCGAACGAGCGAGATTCAAGGCGGCTGGAGTTATTCTTCCGAGTTATCCAACCTTGGAGGAGGTCTTTCGATACGAGTCTGTCCTACAAGGCAGGGGGTAGCAATTTTATGTCCTGAAAAGAGGCAGTTGTAAAAAACCAAATGCGTTTTCACTCTCCGTTCCGTTTTTAGTTATTCTTTCGATTTATCAATGTTTTATGGCAAAAGGGCAATGGTGTGCATTTTGCCATTCATTCCGGTAAAGTCTCTTCCAGCATTTATTAGTACATTGGCCATAGAAAAACGCAGTCACACAAACACTCAATTGTGCACGCTTGTGATGCTGCATTATTGTTATTATTTCTTCTCGCGTACATTAATAAGTGGGGGAGAGCAAGGAGAGACGGGACGAATGGGGTGTGATGTGATAAAGCGTAAAAAGTGATTGAAAAGAGAGGACAACAACAAAGCCGAGCTGCACGAGATTGTTATTGATGCGTCGGTGGACACATTTGAGACAGTGTCGAATTCTAAATTAGATAAATTGTTCTCTTCAAAACGACTTAACTTTAATGACTTGAAAATTTTCTCCATGAAATCGCCACGATGCGTCGTCCATCCTGCATGATCTCCGCTTTTTCAATCACGACGAGTACCCAAATATTATTGTGCATTCAAATACTTCTGCTTGCCACAACATTCACACGCGTTAAAAACTGTAATATGTAAGTAGTTATCATTGTGGATTGTGATGTTATGCATCGCAAAGCATGCTTGAGCTGGAAGACATGCCTAGGAGTCGTTGGATGTGTGTGAAATTGCAGTAAAAGTCAAGTAGTTGCAGGTAGTTGCTTCATTGTGCATGCATTTTTTGTTAACAAAACGAAAAAAAGACATTAAATTATTAAGGTAATTTATTCTCGCATCTTCCCCTTCCTTCTGGAAGGCAATTTGTGTTGCATGTAAACTAATGTCATTGACAAAACAGTGCACGTTCATCTCGACTTGCTGCTGA